TTCAATCGTTTCGTATGGCCATAGACTCAGTGTTGCTGCTATTTCACTATTGGCGCCTTCATATGCAAAGTTTGATGAAATTCACTATGCTGTTTTGCTTCTCAGTTCTTTACAAGAACCTTGTACACATCACTGGAACAGGGTGTTGAAGTCCTGTGTTGATCTGGGCCTTGTTGAATCTGCATTTTGTGTTTATTTCAGGTGATAGATCACATCCCCAAATTAGGGAAACACACCACGTTTTGATTTCTTTTAGTAGAAAAATGATTTAACTAAAAAGTAGAAATTTCTTTACTAGTAAAATAATACACACACACATATATATATTCTTAGCCTATTAGCTCAATGGTAGAGCGTCGTGTTCAAATGGGCACGAAGAGGTGGGTTCGAGTCCCACATAGGTTTGTTTATGAATTTTAAAATGTTTGAAAAACCCTGCCAAATTTAATTTTTAAAAATTAGTTATGCAGTTGTGATTAGCCACACATATTTTTGTGCATAGTGTTTTTATTTTTTCCAAACAAGTAAAAATTACTGCATTTACATGTGTGGTGCATTGGAAACACATATAAATGTGGCAAAAGAAAAGATTAACAACACTTATAAGTGTGCATAACATATTCATTTGCCGCACTTATTTTATGTGGCAAAATTTTCACCACATTGCCAGCCGCCACACTTGCACATGTGTGGCGAACACTCTTTCCCACACTTATATGTGTTGCAAAGAGCAAGATTAAGTGTGGCAAAAGACACATTTTCTTGTAGTGATAGACCCTTGTTAGCGTCACGGTTGTAAGTTACTACGAAGCTATCAGGATTCTTCTCCTCTTCTTGAGTAACTTTGTGCTCAAGATGTTTGATCGCACACTACTATATCCTTTTTTATCTAGTCCCATCAAAGATTAATGGACCTTCTCGTTCTCCTTATGTGGTTTGATGAGTTTTGAGGTGCCAAACTTGCACCCACGACACTTGGCGCGTATGGGTAATTTCTCGATGGTACCCAATCCATCCCATATACTATTTATCTTTCCGAAGTATGATGCAATAGTATGTGTAACGTCCCAAAACATATCCTAAAATTATTATTGAATTATTATTCAACTAAACAAATTTGTTTTGATTAAAATTCATTATTGTTGGGCTTTGGGCCGAAATGAAATATGTTTTGATATCCAATATCATAATCTGGATAAATCTCATAGAAATAAATCCAATATGTTGACTATATGTGTAATCTTGATTGGGACCAAAGAACAAACCCAAATCAAGAATAAATAAAGAATTTGATTTATGATGGGAATTTTTGAAATAATTTGTTGAAATAAATCATGAGAATAAAGAATATGAGAATCTTTTATTTAAAGAATTAATTAAATCTGTTTTGACTCTGTCAAAATCAAACGCTCAAAAATATGATGTCGGAAAAAATTATTATAAATAAATATAAAATTATATCGTTGGATAGAGTTTGACTGTCTGATCGCAACAGTGCAAACGCATCTCAATTCAGAGAAAGTTGTACCACAAAATGTGTACAAACAGCATCTCCTCCTCCACTACTCGATTTGCCAATCGAGGAATGACTCAGCAACTTTGTCACCTTCCCCATCTTCTTTCTATATAAACCACCCTCAATCTATCCATTCTTCACCAAAACTTCATAGGTTTAGTATCAATGTCTTCCTGAGAGTGAGGAGAGCATTCTGCAATAGTTGGTTGCCGCCAAAGTTGAGAGTAATCGTTACCAGAAGTTTCGCCAGAAAATTTCCAAAACCTCCATTTTCGCCTGAGATAGGCCCTTAAATATATCTAGTGATTAGAATGTTCATGTAGATTGTTTCTACGTTTATAAATGGTCATTTGGTTGGGTTTTGTGTTTGACATGCTTGAACAATCAAGAATCATAAACCTCTATATGAACTTTGGAGAACATTTCTATATAGTTTAATTGAAGTTTGGTGATTAAAAATGTAGTTTTTGAAAATTGACCCAAGGTTGAAGATGACACTGTTGAAACTACGTGCAGAACGGAAACGAGTTTCCGCCCGGACGGTACCTAGGTGCTGCTGGCACGGTAGGCCGTACCATCAGAACGGTAGGCTAGCTACCGTCTCCCATTCAAAATCCTTCCTCCTCTGGCGGTACCTGATTCCAGGCAGTACCCATACTGTCTGGACGATATCGAGGTACCGTGAACCGATACCGAGGTACCGTAAGGGGTACCGTCTGATCCAGAAATTTTCTATAAACCTGATTTTTGAAATATTATATCCTATTTTTGATCCCAATCGTTTATCATCAATATGAAAATGATTTTTGGAAATAAATATGATGTTTTGATAAATTCAAGAATCTTGTGTGATGCATGACGATAAGCTAGGGTATTAACACTCGACCCTAGACCCCTAGTTGTTATTGGATATTATGATGATTATTGTTGAATGTTGATTATGATCAAACCTTGATAAATATTCGGAATAAAATGATGATTATGAATTATTGAACTATGAATTGATTGATGAGCAAGAAATGATGTGTAGGCTATTTAGAAGACCTCTAAAATACACCTCAAATTAGAATAGGCCTTGCAACCATAAATATATATATTCGGTGGCATGGGTAACAACGTACGTATGAGATCCACAAACAAAATTAGAGGATCACTTGTTTGGGGATACCACCCAACCCGACGATGAGCATTCTATTGTTCGGTTTCTTGTGTACCTTAAGCTAAGACTAGTTTAAGAGTTGGAAAAACCTTTTTAAAAATTGTACCTTAAACTAGAGTAGCTTAAGAGTTGGTTAGTAGTACCTTAAACTAGAATATAGTTTAAGAGTTGGTTAGAAGTATCTTAAAATACAATTAGTTTAAGAGTTGGTAAACATTAAGAAATTGGCCTTAAACTAAGAATAGTTTAAAAGTATTGTTGAATATGAATGTTGAATGCTGAATGTTGAATATTAAATATTGAATATTGAATATTGAATATCTGCACTGAATATTATGTGCATGATATCATATGATTTGATTATAAATTGAGATTCAATTTATATGGATGTTCAATGCATTAGATATCATTACTCAGCTTCACCGCTGAGCGTTTAATATGATTTATTTGCTACATGCAGGAAAACAAAAAGAATGAAGTGACGTCTTCCTGGCGGCAGATGGAGCGAGATGGTCGGGATGGATTTGTTGGTTTTGAATTATTATTTCTAAAGACATAAGTTAAATATGTTTTGTAATTATGATTGTTAATTTAAATCTTCCGCAACTTTAAATACTTCGTTACAGTTTTGAATAGTTTATTATGAAATAAAGTTTGAAAATATTTGAAATATTTTGAATGTTTACGAATACCAAGTTTATACTTTAGTCTGAAAAGGGTTGTGGACCTGAACGGATTATGGTGTTACAGTATGTTCATTCTAGTTACAGTATGCCAACTCATTCTTGAGCTGATTCACCCGTGGCCCATTCGCCTCAGAGAATCGCTCTTTGATGTCGTTCCATATTTATTTTGCTTCCTTGGCCTGTGTGATCGAGTTTCGAAGTGACCCATATATAGTGTTAAAGATCAATGAAACAAACATGGCATTCACGATCCACTATTCCTCTGCTTCTTCTTCGTCCTCCTCTCTGGTAGGGGAATGGATCCATCAATGAATCCAAATTTTTTTCTTGGCATGGAGAGCAATTCACACTACTTGTGTCTATTCTTAATAATTATCACCAGTCAATATGATATATGTGCTAACTAATGTAGTGGTGTCTGCAAATTTCAATTCATAAAGACTAATCATTGTGAATTGTTTGTCGACTTGTCATTGTTGTCTTCTCCTTCGCCGGGAGTTTTAGACAACGAATTGTCATCTTGATTATCGCTCATCTCGATTCAAAAGGTTATCGACAAAGGCCATTTGTCGTAGGAGGCTCACAGTCGGACCCAAGATCTTACTTCGATACCATCAAGAAAATAATATCGGAAAAATTGTTATATATATATATATATATATATATATATATATATATATATATTGTGATTTGTTCATTTCAAATATCCTCTCCTCTATTTATAGGAGAAGGGAGAGTTCTAAAAAGGAGAAGAGCTAGAAAACAAATCAAGTTAAACAAGGAAAACAACCTAACCATGTTATGGATGTCATGAGATGCATGTAGAGGGAAAAAGGGAGCCGAATCCCTTTGGGGTTTTGTTTGGTTCCTTTCTTAGCCTAAGTTGATTTGTTTTCCGTAAGTGAAATTTGGACTAAATAGGACTAAAACATAAGTTATTTTTCAATGTAGAACTTAAACATTTTTATTCCCTAAATAGTACTCCCTTCATCCCCCATAGATCTTCTCAATAGTCCTTTTTATTTGTCCCCAATAGATCTTCTCATTACTTTTTTTAACAATTAAAATACCAAACTACCCCCTCTTACTTTATTTATTACACCTCACCTACCCTATTTAATACACTCCACCCATTTTCATTAAGGGTATTATAGTAAATTTT